CATTTCTGACCAGGTGCTTTTAGTTACAAATAATGGAAAATTCCATGCAAATGGGCTCGGGATATTTTATCAAGGTATTTTATAAAAACCAAGACTCAGCTTCTGAAGGTAATTGCTGCTAAGCCAGAGTTCCATTCCCTGGACCCACATGGTAGAACGAGAGAACTCCTGAAAGTTGTCTTCTGACCTCTACGCGTGTCCCATGACCCACGGTAAACGTAAATGGAGAGGGGGCAGGTATCAGCTTTGCTTAACTAGGGTTTGAGGGGGCGCCTTCTGTCTTCTGGGGGAGGATTGTTCTCATGACCTAAGCAATGCAACCCATGTTTCCTTTTCTCTCCATTTTTTATCTCATCAGGCTCCACCCATATCAGGTCCTCTTCTAATGACCCCAAGATGCCTACTGGAGTAGACGATGCTCCCAACCCAGAACCAACAGAGAAGGGCAGGAGAAATTCAAGTGTCGATTGGTTTAAGGTAAATCATGTGTGTCCCCACCTAGCGCTGAAATCAGAATCACCTAGATTCTTCTAGGTCCTAGAAGAATGTGACAGAAAATGGGAGGGAGAGTGATTCCTCACAGGAAATTGGGGATATTGGGAAGAAGAGGGGAGAATGGATATGGATTATGGACATGGGCTGGATACAGGGAGCCAACAAATGAAGGTTTGCAAAACTGGTGATGCTTTGATGATGCTTTTTGAGCTGAACTGAGCAAATTCTCTATCCTCCTTAACATTTCCTGGAGTGAACAGCCTACAAGGGGCTACTTTCTTAATTGAATACGTATGATAGCTCCCACTCCTTAGCACTCCTGCGCACGGGACTCTTCATTAAGCCTCCAGGGGTTTGAGACGCCAGCTCTTGCCCGTGTTTCTTGTCTGTAATTCCTGGAAAGAAGCAGAGCCACGGCCTTGCCCTTGATGAATCACAGGCCGATTGTCTAGGCTGTGGATCATCACTCCTCCTTTTTCTTGTCACTACTGCCCCCCCCCCATAGCCATCCTCTTGTAGCCTGTTAATAGTCTTCTTGCCCAGAAGGAGCAGGAAGGAGGGATGGAAGGAGGAGAGAAGAAGGGGAGAGAGGCGTGGAGGGGGAGAAAGGGGGTGGGAGAAGGAAAGCAGGAAGGCCCGAATCAGCCAGCTTAGCTCTTAACCAATCCTGGGAAATTTCAAGGAGGAAGGTGAAAGGGAGTTATGACTTGGGGGTATCTTGAATGTCCACAGTCTGTGCTAACTCTATCCCTCCCCTGTCTTTCTTCGAGATCCTCAGACAGCTGAACCCAGAAAAGCATAGGCTGAGGAGTCCAGGAAGTTTCCTTAGGCAACCAGATGTTTCCAGAGGCTTCATTCCTTTGTGCTCTTCACTTACCATCTATCTCAAATAACTAACAAGGCTCAGGAATCACCCTCATCATCCTCCGTGTTACTCTTCAAAATCCAGGTGATGCTGACAGACGCATTCATGTGGGTCCGTGTTTTCCATCCCCAGAAGAGCTCCGTGATGTCTGCCGAGGTTTGTGTTTCCAGAGGAGAGAACCGTTGTTAGTTGCTTTGACTGGTCCCAGGGTTGGCCTCAAACTCATGATCCTCCTGCCTCAGCCTCCTCAGTGTGGAGTGATTATAGGCATGAGCCACCATGTCCAAGTTACTTCTTAAAGTAAACTTTTTAGAAAACTAGGACAATCATTCTGAAATCTACTGAAAGGAGAATTGCAGTTTCCTCACGAAGGGAAAGTAGACACCGTCATCGCTAAATAGTAGACAAAGCCAGGAAAGGGGTGAGATGAGGGCCACAAGCAGGACTGTTCCTGTCACTGGCCCCTGTCACTCTTCAGCATTTGCCCCCCACCTCTCCTCACCACCCACCTGGACCCACCCTAACTCTATAAAATTGGTCATGATTTCTGGGGTATTGGACTCCTTCATAGAATTCAGACAAAAAAAAAAAAACCCAAGGTTAACTTTTACATTTTTATGTTGTGTGTATGGTAAGTCATATGTGTGGTACATGCATTTGAGTGTGTGTGTGTGTGTGTGTGTGTGTGTGTTAAATTATATGTGGA